ATGAACAACTTTACATTCTCACCAACAATGCAGTAGTGTTCCCTTTTGGTCACTTCTGTTATTGTTAGTTTTCTTGATAATGGCCATACTAACTGGGAGAAGGTGGAATCTCAATGTCATTTTGTTTTGCATTTCTTTTATGGCCAGAGAGCGTTTCTACATATGTCTATGGGCCATTCTTATTACTTCTTATGAGAACTCTCTCTTTAAGTCTTTAGCCCACTTATTCATGGAGTTGTTGTTTCTTTGGAAATTTGTTTTGGGGGTTTAATCTTTTGAGCTCTAACTGTATTTTAGATATGAGGATGTTGTCTAATGTATAGCTAGTAAAGATCTTCCCTCAATCTGTGGGCTTTCTATTTATCATACTAGCTGCGTCCTTTGCCTTGCAGAAACTCTGCAATTTAATGCAATCTCATTTATCCAGACCGTCTTTGATTTGCTGTGTTTCTAGATCTTCATTTATGAAGTTTCAACCTAGGCCGAGTGCCGATGGCCCACGCCTACAATCCTAGCTACTCTGGAGGCTGAGATCTGAGCATCACAGTTCAAAGCCAGCCCAGGCAGGAAAGTCCATGAGACTCTTTATCTACAATAAACCACTAGAAAACCAGAAGTGGTGCTGTGGCTCAAGCGGTAGAGTGCTCACCTTGAGCTGAGGAGTGCAAGGACAGTGCCCAAGCCCAGAGTTCAAGCCCCAAGACCGGAAAAAAAGGAAGTTTCAACCTGTGCCAAGGTGCCCTAGTGTTTCCTCTATCCCTTCCTGTAATATTTTTAGGGTACTTGATCATTCATTGAGGCCTTTGATCCATTTGGAATTGATTCTGGTTCAGGTTTGTATAGAAGGATCGAACTTCAGTTTTTTACATAGCCCAGTCTGCCAGAGAGGCTGCCTTTCTTTCATTTTGTGTTTTCGGCTTCCTTATCAGATTAGGTGGCTATCAGTCTGTGGGTTCATTTCTGGGTCTCCAATTCTATTCCATTGGTCCTCAGGCTTATTCTTGTGCCAGTTCCAAGCTGGTTTTTTGATAAGAGTTTGAAATTTGATATGGATATTCCTCCAGCACTGTTCTTCCAACTAAAGATTATTTTTGCTATTTAAGGTCTTCTATTAATCCATATGAATTTTTGGATTGCTTCTTCTATTTCATTGAATAATATTGTTGGGATTTTGATGGTTCTTGCATTGAATTTGTAGATACCTTTAGGCAGTTGCTATTTTCATGATGTTAATCCTCCCAATCCAGGAACATGGGAGGTTTTTCTACTTCCTTTCTGCTTTAATTTCCTTTTTCAGGTTTTTAAAGTTTTCTTCATAGAGGTCCTTCACATATTTAGTTAATTCCTAGATGTTTTTATGAGGCTGTTACAAAAGGAGTTACTTTCCTGATTTCACCCTACTCTCTTTATAGTTATGTAGAAAAGCTACTGATTTTTGTGGGTTAACTTTGTACACATTGAAGCCATTTTTCACAGACTCATAGGAGATAGATTTTTAGCCTATGTACATCATACTTATGGATACATACTAAATATACATATATAAATGAAAATTTCAGACCATTTTTCTGCAAAAATTCACTTGGGTGAAATTCAAGGATCTAGTATGAATGAACTATGTATGGGTTTGTGGATAATTGTAGTTAAAGGATTTTTATCTCATTCATTCTGACTCGTTGGTGTCAAGTTTGGCATAAAACACTATGGTCATTATGGAAGGCTTTCTGGTTGTCAAGATAATGTGTCTATGTAAGATTTGCCTCCAACATGGTGTGGGCATTTGGGGGCAGTAGCTTGATCCAATTGAAACTTTCTTCAGTAAGCTGAAAGCAAAGTATCTGGCACTCAGCTTCACTCTCTACAATATCTAAAGAGATATTTGGGAATAGAGTAGATGATGAGTGCCAGGAAAATAGTTTTGTAAGGCTTATGAATGTATGGTCATTTGTAGATTCTCCCTTTTCTGTGAGCCTAATCACCGAGTTTCATCAGGAGGCCTTATCAGTGTCCTCCATGGGGTGAAGATGAGGATTGGGAGATGAGAGAGAGGAGGAGGAGAATCACTAAGTGAGTGCAGGACCTTCCAATTTCATTGAGAAAATATGGCACTCAACTGAGAGGCAGAACCACCAACCAAAGATGGCATATCAGAATGTGATGAATGATTTGGCAGCTCGTTTGCATGTTGTAGGAAGCCAGAGGAAAGGGTGAATCACAAGGGCTATAGAAGTCCAAAAGTGCATTTGGTAGGAATAGCAGCTTCAGCTGCTCTACTTTGAAGACAGATAGAGTTACTCTAGGTTTAAGGACTGGTTTCTACTAAGGAAAATGGCAGAAAATAAAACAAGGGCAAAGCTGTATAAAGATGTGTTCTGTGGAACAGTGGTAAAATCCTGTTCCAGTCTTTCCAAAGTGTTGGACAGCAGTTAAAAAAAAATGAAAATGGCTGGGCACCAGTGGCTCAGGCTTGTAATCCTAGCTACACAAGAGGCTGAGATCTGAGGATAGCAGTTCAAAGCCAGCCTCTGCAGGAAAGTCCATGAGACTCTTATCTCCAATAAATGATTCAGAAAAGGCTGGAAATGGCACTGTGGCTCAAGTGTTAGAGCACTAGCTTTGAGCAAAAGAAGCTCAGGTATAACATCTCGGCCCTGAGTTCAAGCCTCAGGACCATTCCCTCCCCTGCAAAATTAGAAATGAATGAATGAAGGAAGGAAGAAAGAAATGGGAGAGGGAAAGATGAGCAGGGAGAAGAAAAGAAGGAAGAAAAAGGGTGAGAGGAAAGGCTGGAGGGAAGGAGGGAGAAAAGGAAAAGTAGAAGATGCACTAGGTATTATAGGGTATTAATAGTAAATAATTATAAATGATAATTATAAATAAATAAAAAGCCTTTCTAAAGTAAGGTCACCAGCAGTTTCAAACAAATTCTTTCCGGCAGGCTGGAGGCAGTGAGGAGTGGTAGAGGCTGGGGACAGAAATTCAGTGTCCAAATAAACCTAGAAGAGAGGCTTTCAATGAAAAATTAGAACTGCTCTATGAGAAAACAAACTGGAAATCTTATCTCTATGTTCTCTTTCTTTTGGAGTATTGGTGACTGTCACCTTTGCCTTCAGCTATCTTGAAGCACAGAGGTAGCACATCTCTGATCTCTAGGAAGTGGTTGTGTCATGTTGTTGCCATGGTAACCTAGTGGCTGGGGCAAGCCTCTGGCTGACAGCAGGAAGCTACAGCAAAGTCTACTTGAAGTCAGTTTCTTCTTGGTCTAGTAAATGATAATATTTTCAATGTTTCATTCCTCAAGTTATGGGTCTTGTTCATTTTTAAGTTATTTCTTGAAGGTCGGAAGCCCAGTTTTCTTGAGAGTTACACCAAGAATTAAGAGAAAAGAAAAACAGCTCTCTGGATCATCACTAATTTTTGAAAACCAAGATATATATGTATACATACTATATATCTACATACATATTTATCTTCCTGCCTATATAGTTATTTATTTATCTATCTATCTATCTATGGCATCTACTAGACAATGTGGAAATCATAGTAAGATGTTTATAATCAGGAAGAATAAAAATATATATCAGAGTTATAAAGTGGTAGATGGCCATTCATGGCCATAACTAAGCTGTAAATAGTGAGGTGGCAGGCAAGTGAGCAGCAGGGAGAGTGACTCACTAACCAGGGTCATGCCTTGAACACATTAACCAGGTCAGCAGACTTGTAGTCTAATATTGCCTCTGACATTTTGTGTTGTTTGACCTTGGTCAAACTGGATCAATTTTTACTTTTTCAAAACCCAAATGAAAATGTCATCGAGCCCTGATCTCAAATATCCTTCTCAAATGGCTCTCTTGAAGATGCCATATACCCACCCCCAACCCAAGTTGTAAATATCATCAAGAATAGATGCAGGAAACTTGCTTGACTTGAACTGGTCTTGCGAGTTTTGTGGAAAAAAAAACAAAAGGGAAGTCTTAAGCCAGTTCTTCCCCATCTAGCTGGCTCAGTGCCCCCTCCAATGGTTGAAAGCATATTGCTCAGCAGACTTGAAGTGCCTAGCATTCTTGAATTAAACCAAGTCTGTAAAAGAAACTAGACAACCGAGGCATAAACTATGTGTGAAATCACAGCGCACACACACACACACACACACACACACACACTACAACACACATTCTTCCCTACCCCACATATCACACCACACCACATGCTTGCTGCCTTTAAAAAAATTCCTTTGGGCTGGGGATCAATGGTTCACACCTGTAATCTGAGCTACTCAAGAGGCTGAGATCTGAGGTCTTGGGCCAAAGCCATACCTGGCAGCAAAATCTGTGAATCCCTTATGTCTAATTAACCACTAGAAAAGCCAGAAGTGACGAGGTGGCTCAGGTGAGAGTCTCAAGTAAAAAAGCCAAGTGAGATCTTGAGGCTCTAAGTTCAAGCCCCAGGAGGGATATAAACATTCTTTTGAATCTCATATTACACCAAGCATATACATAGGTGGAATGAAGAGGTGGGATCTGTAGTGAAGACTTGGGAGGAGGACTTTCCTTGTGTGACTCCATGGTGGGTCTTTGTGAGGTAAACAATTTCATGCCAGTACTGATAAGTTTTACTCTGACACATAGCTTCACAAACAATGGTGCTAAAAAAACAGAACTGGGTATACTGGGTGGTAAACAAATATTTTTAAAGAATTTTGGTGATGATCTGACAATACAGTGTTTTACAGTAATCTAGGAAACAACCTTGAAATCCCCTTCCCTTTAACTTTTAGAAATAATTTCTCTGACAGCACACTTTTCATCAAAAACAATGTTTTTGTTTTTAAAAAATCCACAAAATTAAAATGTACTACAAATGACTATATATAGCCATTACCCCTTTTCATCCACTTAGGTTCACAGAGGAAAGGTCACTCATTGACGGGTTTCTGTGGGGCCAGGAGGAGAGACAAGAGACTAGATGGGATCTTACAACGTGTTTTCTCTCTCCCACAGGTCCTGTACAACCTTTTCAAGTCATTTTGCCAGATGAAAACCATTGAGACCATTGACGTGTTTGCAGGAATTGCTAACTTCTTTGTGGTAGGAATTGGTGGAGTGCTCATCGGCATCTTCCTGGGATTTATAGCAGCATTTACCACTCGATTCACTCATAATATCAGAGTTATCGAACCACTCTTTGTCTTCCTGTACAGCTACTTATCCTACATAACAGCTGAGATGTTTCATCTGTCAGGCATCATGGCGTAAGTATATCCCCTTAAAAGCCCTGGAAGAAATTTTATTAAATTCATGCACTCTTAAGTCAAGTTTTCAAAACTGACTATGTCATAGGACTTCATTTTTTGCCAGGCCCTATCGGCTCATGCTTGAAATCGTAGCTACTTAGAAGGCTAAGATCTGGGGACTGAGGTTCAAAGCCACTACATTTTCTTATCCTAAGAAAAATTAAAAATATGTTTTCTTACCTTTGGTTAAAATGAATTAAAAATAGATAAGCAGTCAAAGTTATGCTGGTATTGTCTGGGACTAAGTTGGAAAACTACCTAAAAGTTTCAAATGTGATAAACATGAAATAAATGAAATGTGATAAACAACCTGATGGAGTTGAGCTCAGTCAGATACCAGCATTATAAAATGCTAGAATCTGATTCCTATTCTGTGTGGTCCACATGGGAGGCTATAGAATATTTCCACAGGCTTGAGGTTCCCAAAGAGCTCCACAATTGCTTTTGTCCATCCATACAGACTACCTTAATGGTAGAAATTTTTATGACATGAGTGATTGGAGATAATAGCTTACAGCTATTCAAAGCAGAATTTGGTGAATGGAGGGCTGGGGGAAGTGATCATGTGATTTCCATTAGTTTGATAAGATACTGAGCTCTGACTATAATGGATCAAACTATTAAACAACTGCTAAGGTATCTAGAGCAGTTCCACAGATGGGCTGCTGAGTGGTAATGTTTAGATGTCACCATTATGGCCTTTGGAATGTCATTTTGACATGCCAAATCATCATCATCATCATCATCATCATCATCATCATCATCCTGTCACACTATGGTCATCCTCTCTATAGGGTCAGTGGGAAGTACTTCACTAATGAATAATTACATGCCTTTACATTTTTTTCTTTAGGCATACATTTATTTGCAATCTGATATACACTAGACCATACGCCAGGACCTGTGGTAATATACATAGAGTTTTGCTCTTGTGGATATGATCCTCATTGTTCCTGAAATTTTCTCTCTTTACTAGATTTTTGGGGATCCTTTGATTAAAGACTATGTCATTTTCTGTCTTATATTCACACTTTTGTATCAAAAGCAGAGGAGGTATATGACAGAGGAGAGGAAAGGCCACTTTGAAAGGAGAGTGGTTTTCTGTTTCACTGGGAACCTAAATAAAGCAACATATTAATCCAGTTTGACCCAGTAATGAAATGTTCCATGTCTTCCTGGTTGCTATTCATATCATTTGTATGACTTCCAGTTTGCTCTCTGTTCTTTGACCAGTGTCAGTGAAAATGTATGATCAGTTAGTTACATGGTCTGCGAAGAGACTGTGGGATGGAATGTAGTGCCTAGCTTCATGAATGTTCTTCTAGGAACAATTTGTGATAGAATCTTGAATTACAGAGTCTCAGTGCATAACATCCTCTGGAACACGTACGCGTGCCGATGTTCTAGAACACTCAAAATGTAGCAAACTATATTAGCTTTCTGGTCTAATGTCCAAAGGCAGAAACCTGGGTCTCCGAAGAACCACAGGATCTGAAGAGTTGTATGGGATTGGATTTGGGTGCATCAGAAATCTCAGTGAGACATGGTGTGTGTGGAGATTGAAGGGTGGAGATTGAAGGGCTTGTTCCCCATCAAGTCATGGGCCTGTTGTGAAGATGGAGTTATCATTTACTTGCTCTGGGAAATCAGAAACCAGAAACAAACATGTCTTTGATAAGAAGCAAGGGTAATTTTCTGCTGTGGTTTATAGGTGGATGATAAGCATTGCCTTTATTTTCCAACTTGAAAGTGGAAATCAAAGTATTGTAGAAAAATTCCCTCGTTCCATTTAATCTGATATTGTTATTGTCTATACCAATAGTATGTCAGAATATAAGATCATTACATGAGACAGTTCAGGAGAGGCATATATTTTTGCATCTAGGATTACCATGCACATTCATTATCCTATGATGAACAGGAAATGAAGGGACAGATTCATGTCAGTGTGCTGTTTTCCTCTCAGAAGTGAGGCTCTGGTTTCTAATACAGAATTATCCATGTGTTCTTCACAGCATGTTTTCCATAATACTGCCATGTGGAGTCAATCACGGATGTTCGTGTCCCCCCTGCAAAGTGTGATGTGTGCACTTCCCCGCTATGAAATGTGATGTGTGATGTGTGCACCTATTTACCTGAGGATGTTGGTTCCAGGGATACAGTATAACAATACCACTTCTAGTGGCATTATTTATGCACAATGCTCATTGAGCTAGTAATTGTTTCTGTGTGTGAACTGCACAGAAATAAAACTTAGGATTTCTAATTTCTTACCATACTTCATACTAATTGCATTCTTTTTCTTGTCATTTGCAAACAAAATTTGAGATTAATGGGATTGCTCAGGACTTGCTCTTATTTGCTAAAGCGAGATGGGTAGGCTTCTAGAAAAGAAGGTAGACAGAGAGGGTGGGAAGGTGAGCTGAATATTTGTTGATTTTTTAAAATTAAACACATTAAGCATTTGTTAAGCAGAAAACATTATGGTCATGTTGAATTTATCCAGCTGAGGACATTTTTTTTGTGCTGTCAAATTTAGAAAAGTTTGGTGGAGTTGTACTTTCAAAGCAATCCTCCCTTCCTGGCATTCTTTCCTTCCTTCTTTTTTTTTTAAAAAGGATTTGTTTAATAGAACACTTGTTGCAATTTCCCTGCCACCTTCTCTTTTTCCCTCTCTACCTCCCTCTATCCTTTACTTCTTCGCCCTCTTCTTAATGCTTTTCAGACTGTGATTCTCTGTACATGAGCTTTGTTATAGATGAACACTTGGACAAGCTGTCCTAGAATGAGATTATATAATAAGCAGGTAGTTAATAAGGGAATGTGATGAAAAGAAGCTTCATTTTGTAAAACACAAGACTTGGCTTTGAGTTCAAAATCCAACCTGTTTCTTAGGTAGGAAAGCTGTCTGCAGGATATTTGTTTTGGTTTCTTTAGTGAGATGACAGAAGTAATCCACATTAACAAACCCTGTTGTTTCTTCTGTTTATTGTTAAACATAACAATGATTTTATATGGCTTTCATTGACAAGAACTAAATGATATAGTATGAGATGGAGTTATATCTCCCTTTTATTCCTCTGCTTTGTAACCTGTCTGGAGAAATGACTTGGGGATTCTGAACAGTGGTTTCAACTTTATGTCCTTTCTAATACTTTCTTCAAAACTTAATCAGAAGGTAAGAAATCATTTTTGTTCATGTTTTGCTATGTGTTCATGAATGACTTGGATTCAAACATAAGAGGAAATGTGAAATTCCTTGTTTTAAATGTTTTTATGCTTACTTCTTTACTGGAAGAAATTATTGCAGTAGGAAAAACTTATTCTCTCTGTCTCTGTCTCTCTGTCTCTGTCTGTCTCTCTGTCTCTGTCTCTCTGTCTCTGTCTCTCTTTCTCTCTCTGTCTCTCTGTCTCTCTCTCTCATGTTTGTGTTGTGTGTATACTGTAGGATTTCCTTTCACAGCCCTAGATCTAAAGTTAAGGGAAGTGTCTGCAGTTGCTGAAAGAAGAAAGTTTACACATTAGTGACCTTGGATACTCTTCCTTACTAAAGGACTATCTCATGGAATATAGACATGATTAATAGTTAGCTAGTTATCAATTTTAGAAATCCTTGTCTCCATTCATATATCAATGACTTTTCATTAAGAAATGCTCACAGCACATTGATCACCTATATCAATCTATATGGAGTCAAATCCAAATGAAATGAGCTTAAGGGAATTTTTTTCTCCTTTTGGATGCCAGGCACTTCTCTGGTCCTTACTTTTTGTCTCATAGTGTCCCCAGAGCTCTAGTTAATGACACATTGAAAACATCCTGTCCTGCAGAGTCAGGTTTGGCCTCCACTACAGCTTGCAACCCACTGGGAAATGTTTCTCTTTGATATTCCCCATGGATTTCAAAAATGGCTTAAGAGTCATTTCACAAAGGGCAGGAAAGTTAGTGCTTACCATGTCTTAGTTTCATTTAGATGGTTAATAATTCCTCAGACTTTCTTCCCTCCAGGGTATTTTCTAAGTGTTTTCTGTATATTGTCAATTATTCTGATGGTGTTATTGCATTGAAAGTAGGAAGTGGTGTTTCTTTTAGTCTCATTTTATGAATGTGCAGTGGAGGCCCAGATAGGCAAAATTGGCTGCAAAGTGACTCAGTAGGTAGTAAATTCCAGGACCCCGGGTCTCCAGTGACTAAGCCAGTAGGGCCACTGAAAATGAAAAATGTAACACAATTCTCTTTTGATGGTAGCTGGGGATTTTAACTCAGGACTGAGCACTTGTGCTGGTGTTCTACTCCTTGTACCATACTTCTACTCAAGTTTTTTGCTGGTTATTTTGGAGATGGTGTCTTACAGACTTTTCTGCCTGGGGTGGTTTTGAAACATGATCCTCTGAACTTCAGCCTTTTGAATAGGTAGGATTGCAGGCCCCAGCTACCAACACTTTTGGCCCACACAGCACATTTTTAAGAATATTTAAAAAGTAAGATTTTTTTTTTTTACTTTTTCTTACTTTGAAATAATTATACAAAGGAAGTGCCAGATAACAAAGCAGTTTATGAATGCAGTGCATCTTAATCAGTGTTCTTCCGTTCAACATTCTCACCCCCCCTTAACCAACCTCTTCTTTTCCCTTTCATAATTTTGTATGTCAAATGAAATATTGGCTACATTCTAGCCCTCTTCCCCACTTCATGCATCTACCTTCTTCCCCTTGGCCAACACTCTACCCTTGGATGTATCCATTTCCTGGTGTTGAATTTGAATTTGTGGGGCTTTAAGCTAGGAATTTGCATCTGCAAACAGGTCTAACTTTGGCCTGAGGTAGTCCTGGTTGAAGTTTGAGAATAGAATTCCTATTCTATATGCTTTTCTTTGTGGAATTATCATTTCCTTTAAACTTTGACAAAACTAGAGAGGCTTACCATTATTTGCCATATGGCAGCTTGGCATTGAACTC